GTTTTAGATTCAATTTATGTGACAAAATAATATATTCTAGTCGGTTGAAAATCGCCCGCTGTTTATCCAAGCGCACACTGGCAAATAAATAGTTTCTAAATATCAGCTTCGAGACTACATACTTTTGTGCTCTTGTTCGAAGAAACAGAAAAAAAGTAGTAAATTTTGGATCCATCCAATGATCAGCATAAGGGTCATAGATCGACAGCTTGATGGGCAGTTAGAGAGAAAAAATATGTGCTATTAGGCCGTGGTCGAAGGGAACGTTTCATCTGACACTGCGGCAGATATCTCCAGATGAGTGTGCGTTGACTGCGAGCAGTATCGCGTATCTATTCTAATATGAGGTAGTGGGAGTGAGGCGTCTGTCGAACTAACTTTGGCAGAATTTGTTCCTAAGAGAATCTCATTAAAAGCAATGGCAACCCATGATCCCATGTATGAATTTATATATATTAACTTAGTTTCAATCATATTTGCTGACATTTTGTCCAACATACTACACACACATTTCAATTTTCCAAAATCAATTTCCGAAACTAATCGCAGTCCGACTACCGAAAAAAATCTGTTCCGAAATTGGTAATTATATATAAAATTTGTTAAACATATTTGTTTTTTTACATGTTTGGCGACCTTAAGTTAAGGAATAATAACTTCTGCATGAATTTGTGTTTCTAGCTCTTGAGTTATCGAAGGGTTGATAGTCACATATACAGACAAATCACCTGTCAAGGTTTTTTCGAGAAATAAAGTACGAAAATAGCATTCACACGAAATCCAACCCAGACATAAACTTTTTAGGCTTGATGTGCATGTAAAATATGTGCGGGTGTCCTCCAGTCCAACAGTGACAATTTTATTAATGACATTGTCATTCAGAGAAAATGAACATTTATTCATGAGAAAAACATGGTTTCATGAAACTTCATTCTTCCAACATAATTATTCTGGAGGTATCTGCATTTTATAGGGATAAAGTTTCATGTTCGAGTATTTTGAGTACTTTTCTTTCAATTGTTTCGTGTGTTCTGCTGTTGTAAGGAACTGGTGAACCAAAACAAAACTGAGCTCAGTCAAAATAAAAAACTTTTCAATTACTCTTTATGAAGAGTGAACTTATCCAGAATCACTCACTTATTTTATATAGGGCGTTCCAACGAAAACTTGACCTCTCTGTGAAACGTTCGTCCAAAAACTGCCTAATCCGAACATCAAAGGGTGCACCATCCTGCTGGAATGTGTATAATCATAGGATCTACACAGTCTTGTAATTGATTTAAATATGTGTCTCATTGAGATTACCTTCAAGGGAGAATGGTTCAACAATATGATTACCAAGAATGCCAGCCCGAACATGCAATTTTTATGAAGTTTGTGAATATGTTTCTATCACCAAATGAGAATTTACATCGCTCCAGTCAACATGAACGAACTTTCGTCTAAAAAACATGTATTTTATAATAGGTTTGGGTTATTGGTCAATTTCTCGCTGAACACTTCACAAAACTGAAGTCGACGATCAGGATCATTCTCGTTTAATTCCTGAACTAGCCTTATATTGAAAGGATGGAATTTGTAGGCTTTCAAAATCCGAAAAACACTAGTAGCTGATACAACAGACACTCTAGCTGTTTGTCTGATAGATTGTCGATTATCCATTTTTACATGTCCTAAAACTGCAACTTCAATTCTGTCATTTCTGACAGGACGGGATGCTTCATGTTTTCTGTTGTGAACAGAACCTGAAGTTCGAAACTTATCCATTAACTGTTTAACGTATTGATGGTCCACGTTGTGGTCTGGATGATTCGTATTATAAATTCTTGCAGCAGCTTTAGCACATTCATTATTTCGATAATAGGTTGCAACAATTTCTATTCTTTCTATCTACTTTTTGTTCTGCGGCAACTACATTGAACAAAAACTACCAGTACAGAAAAAACCAACGGTGTCGTCCATTTCAAAACGTTTATTACTAATTAAATAAATTCTACAAGTCTAGAAAACCTGCGACAGAGAATTGTTCGGAAATGCCGTTTTCTGACTCCGGACATCTTCAATACTGTAAGGAACGCTTTCGAAAGTAGACTGTATTATTGTATGAAACTAGACGGAAGTCATTTTGAACACTTCATCCGTTGATTGTGTTGTCATTGACATTACTTTTGTTGATTTCTTCAATAAAATGAGTGACAGCGAATTTTCTGTTTTTTCTTAAATAAAACGTTCAACATTTAATTTCTAAATAACGAATGAACCAATTTCGAAAAAAATAACAGAAATGATAGAGGGACAAAAGACCTTTCAAATGATGTATCACTCGAGCCCCTATGTCATTGAAAAAATAGGGGGCTAGTTTCGGGTATGATTTCCATATCAGAATTAGTCCCCCTATAAATAAAAATTGACGTGTTCTTTGAAATTTTCGATTATACGTCCGTTTCTGACTTACAGGGGGTCAAATTTTTGTTGAAACGCCCTGTATGATTGAAATTTCATGAATAGTTTTGGCTGAAAATATTTCTTAAAACTGGCCGACTTCAAGCATATCGACTTGTCTTTCTGATGTTTTCACATTATTTCCAAAAAAAAGATATTAGCGGTAAGACTGTAAGACTATTTAAGTTGACACCCTGTATTTAATACTCACGTATATGCATGCGTTCTCTTGGGATATGGCATTGATCTCTGCCAGCGAAATGAGTATATTCAATTGGTGTTTGTGCCAACAACGAACTGACCATACACGACCTTAGTTAAACATCCATCTGTAATTCTTCGTGTGCTGTTTCTAGGTGAAATCAGCCAACAAGCAGAATCATTCTTTACCGAAAACATCAGTGCGTGAATCGAAAAATTTACGTAATACATTATCTCCATGCATTCGAATGCATTTTGTTGAATTAGATTTTGCACTTGTTATCTATCTATTTAAATTGACCTAATTATAAACGAACAGATAGTTATTGAAATGCCACACCAGTCGATAAATTATCAGTATTTATTTGGACCAACGGAAACGAGCTCAAGTATTTTCAACTAAATGACAATTAATATAAGATCGAATTTTGCGTAAATATGAACAAAATAAAATAAGAAAATTATTTATGTACTCGACAAATCTATAATTTGTTATAAATATGAAATACATTTTAATTGTTGTTTAGTAGTTTGACAGCATTTGTTTTAACATGTTCAGTTTCGGTGTCTTAAGTTGGGAAAAATCGACTTTGTGAAATGAGTGTGAATTAGTTACTCAAGAAGTGAATGGTGCGTGGTGGCTATTTCCGTCTGGGATGGAGTGAAAACTGTGTCAATTAAAATGTTATAAGTGGAATCGATGGAATTCTTTGTTCACTAGTGCCAAATAAGGATTACTGATTTTGTCTACGTTTGTTTTTGTTTTATTATTTAAAGAACAGAAAAACTAGGTTCATGTCGGGTTAACAACAGTTACTCATTTGAAACAGATACTAAATAGATTTTTTCGTACATTGGAATCGTAGTTTATTTGAATATAATTTACAAACTGAATAAATATATCAGATATGAGAGGTAATCTTTCCCTACATCTATATAAGATACCTATTTATATATTATCGAATTTTTTCATAATAATTGATAACAAAATTTAGATATTTCCAAGTTGAATTTCGTCATACTTGTCATTTGTTTTGAGGTCTCGTATCGAGGAATCTACAGTTGAATAATTCAAATAATAAAACGTCCATTCTACTCGTATAATTTTAAGGAAATCAAGTGTAGTTTAAGAAAGTCATGAGATTCAATAAAATAGATTTCTAACATAACAAAAATTATCTTGAAATCATCAACTGATGTCTGCAAGAAGTTAATTGCTTAGATTTTTTGAAATGAAAATGTATACCCGTCCTCAACATATACGACATTCTTCTTTTTAAATCTTTGAGATAACGTCTTTTCTAGATTTCTTTCTCAATTTGCTATTTCCTATGTAACAGACATTTTCTAAGTCCGAGATTATATCAACATATATGCTGATATATTTTTTAAACTCTAAACTGTGATATATTTCAAGAAGGGATTGGTCATCAAGTTAATATTTGTATTTTTTCAAAATTTTAGGTATTGTTAGAATAATAACATAAAATAACCATATCAGTAACAAATTTGTTTCATTTCAATATATTTCTTGAATAAAATACATTTTTCTATAACAATTCCTTCAACTGATGAAGGCTTTTCAATCTTTTTGGATAGTATGCTACACCAATCTGTTTCACTAGTGAATGTAGAAATACAATTTATAGAATCAGAGAATGAATATTTTGGAAAATATTGATTCATTTCATGGGAAAAAAAGTTATTATTGATGAAAAAAAAGAAGAAAAAAGGTTCTGAAGTTTATTATCTCAATATCCAACAAAAACTGAAAAATATCATGTTAAATCGCTCACATGTGAATTCGAAATTATACGAAATTTTGTTAATTATACCCATCCCTAATAATACATTTTTCTATTCCGTTGTACAAGTAAAACCGCAATACGAATAAAGTTAAACACAGCCTGTTAATAAATATTATGCGAAAAATGACAAGTTATGGCTTTATGCAATAAAAGCGAGTCGGTCAAATGGTATGCATTCTTGAATGACGTTGGTTACAATCCATGAAATTAATATAATTATTATTTGATGCGCGGAGTCCCCAAGTCTCTGTTCTACATGATAACTTAATTTTACATTGTCACTAAATCATTCGACGTTGACCCTGAAATCTCTCTTGTAACACAGTTTTCTGAAAAGAAATTTATTTAATCTAGTCCTACAGAAAACACGATTAAGCAAATCAGTAAAAAACACGAAAAATTTACATTGAAAGTGTTGGTCTATTAGTATTTGGACTTTACTGATCTATACCAAACTTCGATCAAGGTTTGAGTCTCTTAGTTCAAGTGACATTCTTGGTGGTGTGTAGGGAAATGATTACAAATTTGGTATTAGATTGGAAGAGGGAAATGAAATTATATTTCTGCCCACTTTCTCGACTGGTCAGTTATATCTAACAGACTTATTTGCACAATTCTTCAAAGAATCCATTTCTATACATGACTCATTTATTTTGACTTCGTCTGGCAGTTCTATCCAGCAACCGAGCAAAATACAAGTCATAGCAAAACATTCGTAGACAAAATTACATAAACATGCTTTGAGAAGATTCATAAATGATCTTTTCAGTGAAAAAATGCCTTCTGTCAATGATACAGGGATATTGTGAAGCTAATTTTGACTAAACCAGAATTGGGCAATAATGTTTGGGGCGTATAATGAACTCAATACTGCTCATACCGCTAGTACGTCCAGTACGACTTCAACAACGTGGTGTAATCCTGCTACTTCGATGTCATCAATGTATGGATCACCTGCGTGTGCTGCTCATATTCCAATACCATATTCGTCCTTTGATCCTGGTCCCAGCACTTCTTCAGTTTATCCACAAGGATCTATGTTCCAGTTTGCCCCCTATCCTGCCATGCATATGCCATTTGACTATCCACAGGTAGTTGAAAAAATTAGAAAGAGAAAATTACAGTATAATTTTGTTACAAACCATTAACAAATGTGTTAGGTAAATCAAGTAAGTAACAAGAAATAAGTGTTGTACAGGTTTCAATGGTTGATGAAAGAGAACATCATAGTCCGAACATATATATTCTCTACAACTTTATACCATTAATTTTGTATCATAATGTATGCCTGTGAAAGGTAAAGTACCAGTCTTGATAAGAAAAAGTTTTATTATCATTTTAAACTCCTTTCTCATTTTGGCCTCAGCGGCTAGATCATTTACCCAATGTCGATGTGAAAGATTTTTCATTTAAGTCCATTCTGGGAAGCGAGACATTTCCTCGATGTTCTAGTTTATTTTCAGTATCAAGAAAATGCATGTTGAGTGTGTCATTTTTGTCTGATATAAATCAAATAGGTAAACAAATAATGATAACTATTTGGAACATCATTTTTTCTATACTCACAGTTTACATCAATACCATCGGGAATAGGGTCCTTCTCGTGAATATTGGAAAGGACAAATCATTCCTCCTCTAATGCCTTCGAAAGTTTTTAACCCACTCTTTCCGTTTTTCCTTTTGCCTCTCGTTTTTAATCACAGCTTTCTAGATTTCGACGCTTACCTGCCCGTTTTAATTCGTCATTATTAAAATAATGTTCCACTTTTAATATTTCATTAAGATTCGAAAGTTTTTTTGTGCCATTACTTTCGTCTCTGAGACTTCTCGACCCTTCAATTCTACTTCAGATTTGATTTGATTATAAATTGGATAATAACATGAGAGTTTGATATTTGTAAAGTCTCATTTTTCAGTTTGTTGCTTTCAATATTGCTGATAATAATTTTTAAGCAAAATGATATTAACTGGACATTTCTTGTCATGAGCATGTGTGATATTTTTATTAACCAGAACACCATGTATATACACAAAATCTAAATACTTTTTTGTATATATCATCATCACTCAAACATGTATAAAAATGAATGTTTAGCCAAAATTCATGTCTTCACAAATAGCTCAAATTGGTATTCATTAACTTTTTCTATATATCCAAGAAACGTGTATTATTATTGAAAAACGAGGCCAGTAGTATGTAGATTGTCAATTAATGAATAGAATAGAATGGTATTTACAAAATCATCCCAAGCATCACATTGTTGAGCATTGTTATACAAGTGATTGTTGGAAAATAATTCGAGAATACCCGATTAATAAAACTGTTGAAGGAAGACGACTAAGTAAAATGAAAGAGAATTGATATGGAAGGTTATCAAATTGAAGAAATTTGTTTTTCGACGTAAATATTTTCTTAATTCTTCTGAAAGTGGGCAGGGTCCAATTTGTTTGGCCAACTAATTTAAAACTAGAAGCATTTTTCTCTGGAAGGTGTCAGAGGGAACGTTTAACATTTTTTCAAATTGAGTTTGAGGCCAATTTTGTCCAATGTCACCACCAACAGAATCATCATCAAAATACCATAGTTAATTCCATCACTGAATTTTGTTGAACTATCTGTATCTGAGCAGAACATTTCAGGGTCCAGTGTCCTTGATGTACAGATATACAGTATATTCTAGTGAGAGAAAGCAATCAGTCCTATCAATTTTCAGTCAAATTGTCTTTTTCTTCTATATCGCAGAAACATTACAGTTTTCCAGAGATTGTGTTTTTTTTCTAGTGACTTTTAGACTCAAGCCTCCCTTAATGAGTTAAGTACAGAAACCATATACGCGAGTATACACGAAATTGGGGAATGTATAGAGAAGAAAATTTTCTGAAGGTTTTTCTGTTAGTTAACCTAGTTATTAACATTACTAGTGAGTGATACTTGAGGTTGACGTAGACTTCAATTAAATAATCAATAACACATCTCTCTACCTAGAAAAGAACGAATGCAAACCAGAAATTTCATCAGAAGAAATTAACATTCTTGATTTTTCCCGTGACGCATGAATGATCGAGAGCGCAATAATCTCGTTTAATGGTTAATAGTGCTGTTTTCTGTTGGGGTTTGATTAAAATTTACCTTCATAGAATCGAGCAGGAAGTATAATAATTGAGTTCAGAGCGCGTATAGCGACCGTGTAGGAGTCGTGCATTGATCAATATGCGTTTTCACTTTAATTGTTCGGGCTGACGGTAAAAAAAAGTATCTAAAGGCAGATGGTCGTTGGTAAAACACATCATTTATTTACCTCGTATTCCAACCGCGGCCCACTTTGTTATTAATATTATTTACGGCCATATATGCTGACGTTGGTTTTAATTCTTCTACACAAAAAAATCAGAAGCAACTTTGTCTTTGGTTTTATTGAAGCAAAATAATTCACTTCGCGAAAAGAAAGTCATATATCCTTTAAAAATACATCAGTACAGTCAATAATCTTTCAAGATCATTTTTCTCTCGTCAGGACAAAAATTCTGTTTCTTGACACGTTTCGCTAACCAAGTTAGTATCATCGGGTCATCAGGAGATGACTAAAACGTAGTCATCTCTCGATGATGCTAACTTGCTATAGCTAGCAAGCAATGGGAGTATTTATTAATACTCCCGTATACCTTTGCCAAACAATTACCTATACCGTTGATTTCTTTCACTCTGGGGGTGGATGCCATTTCTTCTTGGAGGTGCAAAATGTTCCATTGAAAATAATGGAATTGATAAATTCACTAATTCTTTGCAAATTTTGTTATTCACAGTGTTTCATGGAAGTTAATACTTTTCGACTTATTTGCGAGTGAATGTGTCAATATTTCAACCAATAAACCCACGTTTTAGTCACTTTTTCAAAAAGTAAGTATTTTATCAAAAAATTCATTATTAGAAAAGCGTAGCCTTTAATAAAATTGTGCTTTTACAGTGTACGCAGATCCATTACCAACGGAGTAAAAGCTTATTCAAGGGAACTAAGTGAACCCTTGAATCTGAGTTTTTATTTATTATTAAAAATCCTAGCTCCAAAACTTAGCGAGTTATGATGAAAATAATTGGTCCCTATTTTTTTGTGTGTGAAAATCACCTCCTGATTGCCACCCCAATTGAAAATAATACTTACTACTTTACAATTCTTTTTTCAGGTACTCATAATGCTACTTAGAAATTTTATCGGTTTAAATTTTTGAGTGAAAGAAGCATGTTTGTAATTTTCCAAAAATATGCATTTTTCAGAAAAATACTACTTTATTCAGTATGAAAAATTGTGTAATGTTTGAGTAGAGCGAGGGATTGTTTTTATGGCAATATATTATGTAGTACGTCCATTTTTGACATTCTGAACAAAATCTCACAACTGTTATATACAATTTGTTTTAGACTGTCTTTCATCTATTCAAATATGTGAAGACAGAAAAAACTTTTTATTTTATTTCTGAAAAAATGGATTTATCAAATTTTTCAACTTTTGAGCAATTTAAAAAATGTATACATACATATTAGGAAAGTATAACCACACAACAAAATTTTTATTATTTGCACCTCTTCATAATGGATTTACTTCAACAAAATGATCTGAATACATTTTCAAAGTTTTTCGTCTTCTTCGATCCATCAATTATGTCATCACCGTGAAAATTCTGATATATCAGCTACAAACTCTCAAAAAACGTACTTGACGTTTTTCAGATTGTGCGAAACCAAATCACGATTGAACGAAACTTTCACTAATATTTTATGATGTCAAGCAATGTACTTCCTGTTTATTTCCACAACGGCAATTTTTTCTTGATTGCGCCTTAATGAACGCGTCACGAAGAATTAAAATTATGATTTATCTCCAACCCTTTTCCTTGCAGTCCCTTGAGATAAAAAAGACATTATACTTCTGTTCACACTAAATGAAAAAAGCAATATCTAAAAACCACTACAGATATATATCACGCAAGACATTTAGAATGCCTCGGTGCAGTTTTCAAGCTACTTTAATTTTCGGTTTCTGTTATTAATGACCATTTCTTTGGGTTTTTACCGAAATTATTTTCTGATTTTAATGTTAGTGATAGAACTTCCCTACAAAGAATGAAAATGTGATGTTTATGCTAGTGGACGAAACGGGAACGCTGGATATCGCAAAAACTTTCATAAGATCGTGAACATTCTCGCATAGAAAAAAATTATAAAACAAATGCACATAATTGAATAATTGCACAGAAAAACTACGCTAATGTTCGAACAGATCAAGTCATCTACAGAACGGTTGTAGTTAAAGATGGGGTATTCCCATAAACTGAAAGCTTAAGGCTTATTTTCTCCCTTCTATTCCATATGAATGATCTCAGAAAAATATGAACTGTCAGTTCATTAAGTGGAACAGTCTGTCTCTGCCCCTTCACTTTATATCGGTGGAATCTTATTCGGGTTCGAATCAACATCAAAATGCCTCTATAATTTGTATAAATGTATTTTCGCCAGTTCTCAGAATCAAAAATAATTCTTTCCCTCCCGTTTCTTTTTGTCTTCAAATACAGTTTAAAACGACATTCAAATCAATGCTATTGATTTTTTTGTCAGTTCTCTAAGGGTTTTCAGTTATAAATCAGTTTAGACTCAAATTTCCAGTGATACTTTGGTTTCTAATGAAAAGATCACGCAGATTCCTTTTTTAGGAATCCGTAAGCAGAAGTTTCTATAACATAAAAAGATCTGCTTTCTTGGCTCTCAAGAAAAACCATCCTTCACTGGATTTATCACTATATTATATCATTACATTACTTTTCAAAAGTAGTTTGATAGTTGATCTTGTTTGTGATTAATTTTAACCACTTGGAACTAAATTTTAATATCGTAGGTTTGTATCAGGTGACCCATCCATTGTATTTCTAAAGACTGCAGTATATCCAACTAGGCCTGATCACTCTGGAATCGAAGGCGAACATACGTCTAACGGATTACAGATTTCGTATCCGTTACAGTCATAGAAAAACAGAGTTGATGCTACGGACACAGTTGTTGATCCAGTGGTAAAATACATTTTTACAGATTTGCAATATTTACTTATGAAAACTCGAAATATAATCCACCAGCTCTGGTTTCGCCAAGCAATGGTTTGGAATCTAAAATCAAGTCATCGAATCTGTTTTTTTTAATCTAGTTGCCCTAGCAGATGAAACTGAGAGATAGAGAATAGATAGTCGATAAATCCCAGATAAACACCATAGAGAATACTCGAACCGTCTGAAAGTCAGTTGATCTGGATTAGGAGTCATAATTGCAAAAGAGTCTTGTCCACAAAACACTTGTTGAAAAACCAGTTTACATAAATATACAAATATGGGTTGAGAATAGAAGAAAATATAACAAACTTTCCTGCTCTGATGAATATGAACTGACAAAAAGAAAAAGAGTTTATGACAAACGTCTGAATTCTCTGAAATGTTCCATCTCTAGACTCAACAACCGGCAAGGAAGTTGCAAAAACATCCCACTGTATCGTATTTGGTTTTTGCGATTTGATTTTAATATTCAAGGAATTCTATGACCAGAACGGTAATTCCAGCAGAGCTATTTTTGTGTACACTCTTTACAAAAAATGATTCATGATAATTTGTCAATTTTCATGCAGTATCAAATTTTGTCTCACCCTATCGGAAAATTTCACTGAACTAAATACCGACAGAATTATAAAGGACGACAAAAGGTGGGATTATTATAGAAATGGTAAAAAAACTTTATCAGTAATGAATTATTAATCAGTATTTATAAAAATAACCCAGGAAATCCCTATTAGTCAAATATTCAACCACATGATAACAACATCGACACAACTCACTCAAACTTACACCAACACCAGTTCTTCTCGATTACTAATCCCACCAATATCTTACAGATTTTCATGCACAAATCTGCAATGCAGATGCATGCCAGAGATCTTGCCGGTCGCTCAGAAGTCAAACCCCATCAATGCCAGCAGTGTCTCAAATCCTTCAGCAGCAATCACCAGTTGGTTCAACATATCAGGGTCCACACCGGTGAGAAGCCATACAAATGTTCCTATTGTGATCGGCGGTTCAAACAATTGAGCCACGTGCAGCAACATACACGGCTCCATACGGGTGAGTACAAATGTAACTAAGATCATAACTTTCAACCTGAAGGATATTCCTATTTTCTATCTTTGGAGCTGAGTTAGGATAAGTTGTACACCACTGGATCTGAATAATAAGGATTACATAAGGTCGACAACCTATGAAGGAAAATAATTTGTTCTAGTCATTATTATCGCCAACTAAGTGCCTCCACTCCAGGACTATCTCAAGAGTTATTCTTGAAAACGGTGTTAGCAAAATGAAGATGGGATTGTTACGTTACATGTTTTCAAGCAGGAACGTGCATAAATTACAAACGTTCTTGGATTCACTTAAGGACGGATCTATTTTGGGTGTTGATTCTTCAAAGGGTTTCAGATAACATTGCCTCCATAAAATTGAGAGCAGTGTGTATCCTTGGGTAGTACCAACGTTGATGGTAATTTCAGCCAATGGAGAACCATCGATCATCATTTGTAGAGGTCGATTGCTGATGAACAGAAACCATCAAACTAACAATGAAATCGAAATTTATTAGTGAACCCTTCGACTACACACGTTCAAATGTTTTGGAAATATCAAAATCAAATGCTTCAGATTCGCATGCATAAATTATATGTGTGATCCACGTGGATCACACATTTTACACACCTATACTAATTTGTTTTTGATCTAGTTCCAATCCAATTTATATTTGATCTAAAATGAACCTGGTAGAGTTCATTAGCAAGTACCCTGTTTTCTTGATACTCAAAAATGAGGCAAAACTCGTTAGAGCCTTGACGTGACTGCAGAAGCCTGGCCAAAAAAAGCTTCAGAGAGGGTACTGAGTGTTATCCTGGGTAGTTTTGGGAAATACCATAGCGAACCTTACTAAGTTGGTAACCTGAAGGATGCTTGGTCATTTTTGAAGCAAAATCAGAAATGAAGATAATTTGTCTTGGTAGAATAACAAAGACCTTCACTAGAGTGTGCGTCTCAGAAGTGATAATCACTTCTGTGCGTAAGAAGTGATTTGTTTTAATCATAGTCGTTTTACATTTGTTTTGTCAATGGATGATACTTGACATACATCAATGAAAAATGAATGAAAAGCTCATTAGATGATGAAGCTCCGAAGCTTCATCATCGATCATAGAACGAATTTCGACCTCTCTCTTCTTCTTCTTCAAGTTTCGCCACGATATAACCAATTGCAACCAGAGCCCAAAAATAAAGAGAAAGGCAGGACGAATAACGTTCAGCGGTCCGTGTCGAAACTGAGCTCTGCAGCGGATTTTCGTGGATTGAGTTTTCTGACGAACTCACAGATTCTATCTTCATAAGGAAAGGTTTCGTCGCCTTCCCTTCATTTTAGTAGAGTTTGTTGATGAAAATTTCTGTAACATTGACTAATGAAATCCAAATTTGATATACCTGAATTTATTACTAGCGAGCACGAACATGATGATGTTTTGAATATTTATTTCAAATTTTTCAGTCATTAATGAATCACAACAAATATTCTCAGTATAGAAACCAAAGTGGCTATCCATAATTTCAAAATAATATTGTCATAATAAAAACGAGACCGTATCAATTTACACGAATTCCCATAGACATCAGCTGCAAAACCAATTTGCTAACTTTCGATCACGTGTGAAAAATTAATATTCGATGAACTTTTTCACGACGTCGATTAAGCTATTTAAACAGCGAAAAATCACCGAACGCTCATGTATATCGCGGCTTTCAATCTGTAGGGAAGTCGGGACTGATAGAGGCAAAAAATGCGGCAAAAACACCCCGTTATAAATTGATTTCGAATAAACAGCCCTCTAATCGTTTTAATAAAAGAGAAAATTAAATATTTTCTTTTTCAATCAAGCCGGACGTCGCAGACGGTCAAGTGGTTTTTGTAGTCAGTCTCAGTGACGTGTCTGTCAGTATTTGGTTGGCCAGATAACCTGATGGACTGACAGATTTTTTTCATAATATGACCATCGAACTGGTAATGAAATCAATCAGTTTTTGGCATAGGAAAACTTGGAAGAGGTTCAGTGGAGATTTTCGTAATAAAATCAGTGTGGCCAAGAGTGTGATAACCAAACAGTTTGCTGAAGATGCGTTTCGCTATACTGCGGCTTTCTCAGTCGAACTAAGTTACTATGTAGTGTCTTCAGTAAACTTATAAGTGCAAAAATTGTTATATCATCATGGATGGTGTTATTAGTAACGGTTCAGTGTATTAATAAAATCATACTACACACACATTTCAATTTTCCAAAATCAATTTCCGAAACTAATCGCAGTCCGACTACCGAAAAAAATCTGTTCCGAAATTGGTAATTATAATAACACGACACGGACATTAGATTTAATTTATGCAAATACTGAATCATAAATAATATATTGAAATTGTTAGGTTGGTAATAAATTATGTTTATTATTAAGGGTTATGTTGCTGTCAAACCGGCCTGAAATGAAATTCGAATTGGAATGCATTTTCCTGCAACAGTCCGCGAATTTCACCCTTACAAACGAAATCCAAATGGATCGGGGAAGTTTCGATTGGAAAGCGGCTCACATGGAACGAAATAACGCACTGCACAGTGTTGCCAATGCTGATTCAGTAACTTACAGACTTACAGATCTTGGTGTTGAAAGCACCAACGATTAATCTTTCAAGAAAATATAGTAACATATTTGGGGTGTACCTAACACAATAACATTACATTTACTTCAATCCGTTTTAAAACCAAAGATGAAAAATATATAATACTTGTATAAGACGTAAAAATAACATTATTAAATTGTGTCTCTTTTCTTTCTTTATATACATTTCTTGTTCTTATGTAGATACTACTCTTTGTCTCATTCCTTTCTGAATAATAATGTAACCTTATATGAAGCTTATCAACTATTATATTATGAATTCAATCAGGGATTGATAACACATGGCCAACAATAAAATTTCACTGGCAGTTATAGTGTATATGAAGTCAATTCGAATGGCATAAAAACTAAATAGATACCGAACGTCGGCAGTTTCTTTGTATGGCATGGGCGGCGTGGTATATTTTTTTTGTGAAATTAATTTTATTTCTCATAAACCTAGACGGATTTTTTTTATTGAAGAGTAATGCTATTAGTATTTTATTTAGCTGTTCGGATCGACTTCGTATATACATTCCCGGATTCCATCTATTCTGTGACAAAATGGTGTATAGCTGGTTACCCTGTTTCAATGATGAATGTCTGAAATGTCTAGTAGGACGGTAGCTGGTCGGGTTGACATCGGTACTTTGCCCCACTCAGTCAATCGACCTCTGTGTAAATCGGTGGTGAAAGCCGCAGGCCGGACAATCGATTTTTTACTTGTCCAACCCGTGTTAGGAAACACATGATAAAAGGCAAGACCGTTAGTCTTTAACTTGCACAAGTTTCGACTTCTGAGAGTTGTCGTTCATAGGTTAACGGAAAAACAGATTTTAAATTCTAACGTCATTGTTTTAATCAAATTTTCATTTGAACTTGAAGTTTTAATGAATCTATATTCTGTAATGAATATATGTGAACATGCGTTTGTAATAATTGACATTTCATTTGAAAGTTCGGGTATCCAACTATATAAAATGTCTTCTTTTTTTCACGTCAAATACCATCTATTACTTGCACATTGGCAACCATGCACTGGACGCATATATTGCACAATATCGAACACCACCATCGGACACTAGGGTCTAATTTTCCTATATATGCCTACAAATTCAAATCAGAAATCATTGCTTGTTACCTTCCTGGATAGCAGAATGTGTACTGTACAGAATGCGGGGAAAACTACATGTGTTATTATAATGGGCCTTGAGACATACGTTAAGTTGTGATGTTGGTTTATTCAAGTGAAGAAGTTAATTTCGGTAATATATTTGAAAAGGCAGAAAATACCTTAATTTTAGATTTTTGTCTTGAACTATGCCTTTGTTGTTTCGAAGCCATTTCAGATATATTTTGAGATGCAAAAATGCAGGTTACTGATGTATCAAAAACTGGTTAATTTTCTATTGATTTTTTGAATATTTTGTTAATATGATGTGGAGTTTGTTACTATAAATAATAAAAAAATCACCATTCTATTCATGATAATAATTATACAATTTGCAGGATAAATTTTCTTGAGAGGCATTTCGCTTCATCAGTTGGACTAGTAAATCAAACTATTCCAAAATGTAATTACAAAACTTAATTAGATAAGTGATTATTTCTGGCAAAACAGGAAAATTTCGAAAAAACAATTACAATACAATATTACTTCTAAGAAAACAAGTCATTCATGAATATATTAACTATTGGCATTTCATTCCAATTAGATCAATGGTTGATTCTGTCAGAACAGGTAGATGTTGCATAAACCATCACATTACAATATTACTTCTGGGAAAATAGGTGATTTATAAATATCCTTATTATTGACATTTTATAAAAACAAGTTCAACAATGATGATTGAATAACTTCTTGTTAGTAGTTAAGACTAAAATTTGATTTCCAAAGCTTCCATCCAGCATGTTTAATTTTTGAATTGAAGGGGTTATATTTTTAAGAGTGATCCCAAAAAGTTTAATTTTTGTCTTTCATTTTCTGTATATAATGTTCTAATCCATGTTGAAAACGTGGTGTTCTCTGAAAGATGACAAGCAAAGGTGAAATCGGTTTTCATCACTTCAAAATTTCTCTTATGGTCGGAGATAAAGTTTCTTGAAGTCCTTCGTACAATAAACTTTTGGCACAATCCACCCAAGGAGTTACCAGTCCCATATGCTATGCTCTTTCGTTAGTAATCTTTTTATTTCACCTGATGATTCTCCTACATGTGTGAGTCTTGTTTTTGGTGTGAAAATATACTTGGCTAATGGCCTGTTAAAAAAATTTTTTGACACCGCAAAGACATAAAATCTCATAGTTCTCATTTTTTACATATCAAAACATCAGCTTGTGTTTTCATTTCAGAAGTCACATATCATTTTCGACGTATGACTATTAATTTTTC